ACATCACATTGTAAAAATAGGCTTAAAATATAATACTTCTTTTATGTCTTCAAACCTTCTGAAACAAATGATAATGCTGAGTCTTGTGTTTCTCGCGCTCTGTTTGATGGACGAGGAGATAAACAATAAATAAACAAACAACGTGTTGGTGAAAAATGGCTATGAGCCTTTTGCTCATAGAGTGCTAAAGTCCTGACGTCACGTTTCCATGACACCGAAATTCTCAGTTAAAAACAAACAGCACATTCCAGACAAAATGGCGTCGCTGTCGATCACTTCCCTAATTTATTCCTTCTCGGAAGAAAAGAAATCTATCAGAAAAGGAGAAAACCACTACAAATCGGATCATGTGGAGTCACTTTCGTATCAACAAGGTGTTTTACGCGGGGAAGTGCATGCAAGAATGAAAAAGAAGGTCTATAAAGTCACGATGAGTTAACTCAAGCTAAGCTTACATACTAAATGAAAAGCGCTCAGCAGATTCAAGATTTAGTCAGATTTACAGGTTTGTCTTAAACAGATTTGTTTGGTTCTTTTACTTCTTTGAATGATTACAGATGGTGAAGATGATCTAAGCCGCCGAATTCCAACTTACCGTATTTCAAACGTGACGGCTGTCAAACAAACATTTTTGTAGTGATTTATTTCATAGCGTGGTTTTAGGGCAGCACATCGATGTTATCATTTGAGACCAACTGAATCCAATTCCTTGGTGTAATGTTCTTTCGTTGATTTACTTGGATGAGCAACACGAAATTAAGTCGACTGAGTGTGAATGCCCAAGAGGAGCATTTAAGTGTAGCCATGCAGCTGCACTCTTTATCCACGGTATCCATAATCTAAGCAGAACCGACGTTGAATGCCAGTAGAGGAAAAGGAAGTCGAACACATCGCTCTCAGCTCAAGCTGTGGCAGAAATGTTCCCGCGGACTAAGAAGTACACTGCCTTGGGAAGAAAGCCAGCACAAGTTGACCGAACACAGCTTTACGAAGACCTGAAACAATATGGAAGATTTACAGGCCTTTGCTGGCTGCTTAGCCCAGAGCCCCCCCTCCCTGCTGTCAGTAAACTACCAATTCCAACAATAGAAGATATAACATTTTCAGAAGAGTTTCTCCAAACCAGAGGGCTTCAAC